GGACAAGGCGCGAAATCTCAAGCTATGGCATCTCAAGATCGGCCTGGAAGTGCCCGCGTGTCTACAGGGTGTCACGGGCGAGTTGCGGAAACGCGGAGGCGCGAAACTTAGAGCGCAGCTCGAGGCTGGAGGTGAGGTGGTGGAGGGGGCGAAAAAGGCTGCACAGTAGTAGCGCTGCGAGTTCGGATCATGAATATAGTTGGGAGTCACGAACGAGGTTATGACACTTTTTACATACATGATGGTGGAGAGGATGATGGGCCGGCTGGCTTTCAGGCCGGGTAATTATGGACGAATATTTGTTTGTATATACCCCACCTTTTGTCTATTCATGGACCAGGATATCATGCATTGAAGACCTCATGACAAACAGTCTTGTTCTACTTGGTAGAGAACAATCCAGAAAGCACTGAGAGATATCGCAACTACGTCGACGCAGTACTTGCCTGCTCCTCAGTAGCCGCATTATTGTCCTCTCCATTCTCCGCGGCGCCAACCCCACTCTCTTTTCCGTTAGCAAACACACCCTCCCTCCGCCGCCTGAGTATAGCCAAGCCCTCCACATGCGCCGTCTGCGGGAAGAAGTCGAACCCATCGATGCTCTCGATATCATACCTCCCCGTCTGCGGATGGCAGAGCACGCCCACGTCTCTCGCCTGCGTGTGCACATTGCACGAGACATAGACCACCCTCATCGGGCAGAAGTCCAGTAACTGGTTGAGGAACGGCATGTCGCATCCTTTGCGCGAGGGGTCGAGCACCACCGCCGTCTCGTCTGGTGGGAAGGCCTTGACGTGCGCGAAGATGTCCTTCGCGTCGCCGGCGAGGAAACTGGCTTGTTCTTCTGGGAGTTTGTTGAGCTTGGCGTTCGTCGAGGCGAAGGCGATGCTTTGCGCAGAGACGTCGATGCCGATGCTTTTCTGGAATAGGTCCGCCAGACTGACGGTGAACAGGCCCGAGCCGCAGTATGCGTCTACTAGATGGGTTATCTTCGCGGAAGGGGAGAGGATGCGGGAGCGGATGAAGGAGAGAAAGACGGGGAGGATGTCGTTGTTGTTTTGGAAGAAGGCGCTCGAGGGGTTGTCGAAGCGCTTGCCGGAGACGTATTCTGTTGATATTTGCTTGGGGTCGGTTATGCAGGTACGGATGTAGCTACCGTGGGAGGTCGTTTCGAGGACTGCGTCATCCGGGACGGGGGAGTCGGCTGCTGCTGCGGGAGTGGTGTGTTCTCGGCAGAGCAGAGTGGCGCCGCGCTGGTATGTGTCTAGTTGCTCCTTGACTCGTACGCGCTCGCGCTTGAGACCGCGGCGAACAGCTTCGGTACCGATCGGGCAGTCTTCGATGTCGAGCGTCTTCCGCGTGCCTTTTTGCATGAATCCGATGGGCGGCACTGCGTCCCAGGCCACATTGTCGCCGTTGCGCCGGTTCCTGCGAGCGTTTGGTGGTGCATCAAAGTGTGGCGTAAGCTTAGTACGGTATCCGTACTCGCGCTCGCCGTGCTTTGTGTCGCCAATAGGCGGAACCAGCTCTGATGGAAGTTTGGAGAAGTGCTGATATGCTTTCTCGATGATCGATTTTTTGTGCTGTAATTGGTCCGTCCGGTCCATCATCTGGAATTGGCACCCCGAGCATTTGGCGAAGTATGGACACTGAATTCGAGAGTCGTCTCGCCGGTCTGAGGGACGCACGACCTTTACAAAGTCCGCGATAGTGATGGGTCGCTGGTAGTCATGTCGGATGAGCTTGGCGGTAACCCGGTCACCAGGCACAGTGAATGGCACTACGACCACCCGGTTGGTCTCTGGAAGAATAGCCAGTCCATCTCCGACGGATGAGAGCTCCGTGATGTCGACATCGACTTCTGTGAATGTCTCCGGCAGGCTTTCTTCACCATTCGCATTGTTTTGATCAACTGATGTTCGCTCTAGGGACAGCCTTTGAAGTAGAGATCGCACTTCCTTAGATAAAACTTCCTCGTTCGAACCGTCTGGCCACTCGTTGTCAATCTTCTGCTTCTTATTCTTCTTGAAGTGGCGTTTCCCTTCGTTGAATGCCCTCTTCTTAGTATTGTCTGCTTTCACTCCATTTGAGCCTTCTGTTTGGGCACCCATTATTTTGAACAGATGTCTGGGAGCTGCCACAGGGCGGATTGACTGCCTAGCTAGACATCGGAGTAAAAACATGGACATGCAGAAAATTAATTCCCATATTAGCCGCGGAGGAAGTGAAGTCGAGCTTGATCGAGTCTTGGCGTTTGGAAAAAGTTGACCACACGAACTCGACAGCTCGCCTAGTCCATCACCCCGGCATCTATATCAATTCGCAGCGCATTGTCGGAGCGCCACTGCGACGGCTTCACTATCACAGAATGAGTGTCGCACAGTCGTCGCGGTGCCTCTTCTGTAGGTTTGTGCCTAGCAATTCGCAGCCAGTGCGTACCGCTACACAGCGCCACTTCCACTCCACACCGGCACCTTTAGCAAGGAGGAAACCAGCTTTTCAGAACATACGAGCTGTCGATCTTGATCTGATCAAGACCTCGGAGAGATCAAGGCAAACCGAGTTGGCAAGGGTCAACGCGAGCCCGACACAACAGTCCAGACCGACAGAAACCCCAGATCAGGCGTATTTCCCAGAGACCAGCTCTGCGGACGGACCCCAACCCGCCCTGGCAGCGGAGAATGTAACGCTTTCGATTGATGGCACCGCTACCGAGCCCATGTCCGACGGACTGAGGCTACTCACAGACGAACCTAAAACTCCTACGTATGGCACCGATCTCGTCGGCTTACGCATGCAGATGCGGGAACAAAATCGGAGAAGGACTAAAGAGAGGATTGCCGCGACCGAGAATGCATCGAGGGTGTTCCAGCCCTACACCGCCCGCGAGAAGCAGCTACTGGCTTTGAAGTATTCTCCACAGCAGCTCCGCGCACTTGAGGCGGCAGAGGAGACAATCAACCCGCGAGATTTGGCGAAACGCGGTCGCATGCGCGAGGACCCAATGCGGATTGAGTACAAGGACGACTTTTCGAAGATATTGCCGTTGATCGATTTTCCTGTTCGGGCACCGGATGAAGATATTGATCCTGGCATTAGGCCACTCTCACACGAGGAAACCAGAGCGCGATTCACTGAGTGGTACGAAAAGCTCTCGCGTCGTATGGTCGAGGATGCGCAGATCAAGGAAGGCGTGGATTACGAGGAGCAAGAGACGCTTGAGGACATCAGGACTGGCATTGAGGCTGGCATCTACCCGGGCGATGGTCTGACACCGGAGCAACGCATGGCGAAGCTTCGAAGCTGGGCACAACGTCGAGAAGGCATTGACGATGAAGCGGAGTTCCAGCGCTTCGCAGCGGATCCCAGCAACTTCTTTCATTCCCCGCGCGGTCTCCTACACAGCCAGTCCGACTCGCTCTCGGCCGACATCCCGCGGCTGGAGGACCCTCGTATCATCACCGCAGTGGAGTCTCAAGAGCCTGCGAGGGAGAGACTGTCAATGCAGACTGGCCTCTCCAATGACGAGATGAGAAACCTCAACGTAAAGATCCTCGTCGCCCACAGAGTTGTGAATCAGACTCGCATGGGAAAGATTCAAAGTCAGTACTACTTGGCCATTGCGGGCGATGGAAAAGGCATGCTGGGTATTGGCGAAGGCAAGAGCACCGAGCCAGCGGAGGGCGCACTTAAGAGCAGGATGATGGCTATCAGGAATATGCGCCCCATCCCCAGATACGAAGAGCGGACGATATATGGCGAAGTCGAGGCCAAGGTCGGAGCCAGCATAGTCAAGTTGAGCGCACGACCACCTGGTGAGTCGACCACATTGACGACAGCTGCGCGACATATACTGATCATGGAATCACAGGCTTTGGCAACAGATGCCAGTATCTGATCTTCGAGATGGCACGAGCTGCGGGACTACGCGATCTTTCCGCACGGTGTTTGCGATCGCGCAACAAGATGAACGTCGTCAAGGCGACGTACGCGGCGCTGATGAGCCAGAGGCTGCCAGAAGATGTGGCTATGGCACGAGGCAAGAAGATGGTGGATGTCAGGAAAGTGTACTACGAAGGCGCCGTGAATTGAAGTGGTGGACTTGTACCATCAGAGGTGGATATAAGGAAAGCGCAATATCAAGCGCTCGTAATAGAAGCGAACTATGTACAGAAATCTCAACCAATTGCCACCAACTTGTCGTGGGTATCGTCATTAGCGGTGCCAGAACGCCATATACCGACTTTGATAGTCTAGTCTACTTTGATAAAGCAAAGTCGTCAACTCTGATAAGGGAAAGCCATGTCAAGCAGCGGATTCGCGCATCGCCTGCTCCTCGGAGAAGATCTCCTGCTGCAGGACGATGCTGTAAACTGAAGCTTTGAGGAGGGTGAAGACGGTGGCGGTCTTGCGCTCTAGACCGCGCAGTGCGTCTAGGACGTCGGCTGATGGACGAGACGCGAGCTCTGCTAGGATTGTGGAGAGCTGTTGTTATCGTCAGTATGATAATACAGAGGCATTGATTTTAGTTGTATCGCGAAGTGTCATGGCGCGCGAGAGCAGCGGACTGGCAAAGTAGAATGTACTTACGCGGCCGAGATTCGACGACAGCTGTGCATATTCGTCCAGGACCTGCTGCTCGAGTGGGGAGAGGACGTCCTCGTCCTCAGCTTCGCGTGGTTTCATCTTTGTGGTATTTGCGTATGCCGTGTGCCCTGTCGCGTATCCGTGAGAAGTGAAAGTGGAAGTCGACGCGCCGGACTGGCGCGGCTAGCCGAGATTGAGCCGCAGATTGACAGCTCGCCAGGGCCAGGGGCACAGGCTATCCGACCCAGAAGTGGTGCTTGCACGACACGTCCTGAGGCATCAGGGCTCGCTCGAAGAGTGGGACGCACAAAAGCAAAAAAAAGATTTCCTTTGATTGATTACCTTGCGCGAGCGGCTTGAAGCGAGGGGGAGCGGACGGCTGGTCCTGATTGTCGTTGGTGCAAAAGGTAAAATGATCTGAGCCAGGCTTGAACTGGCGACCTTCCGCGTACAGGTATGTTAGGCGGGCGCGCTACCGACTGCGCCATCAGACCAGATGAGTTGATGCCTCACGTGATTGTCAGAAAATATATATACTTAGCTCTCCAGTCTGGCTACCCCTCGCCTGTGTTTACTCTGCCGCCGGATTGGACGGGGCTTTAACCTTCGATGATCCGCAGCTACTACAGTAGTTACATGTTTGCGATGCGGCGAGCCAATCACTCACTTCAGTACACGGTGGCTGGAGCGGGGAAGCCCAGGGAAGCCCGGCGGGCACCTGGGTACATAGAGAGCTCGTCGCCGTCGTCGTCGTCGTCGTTGATGTCGCCGTCGCTGCCACTGTCGCCGCTCCTCTGTCCATCGCGGCCAAGCGCGTTCCCACGGCATACCGCCAATTCGACTGCGACCACGACCGCAATATCGTGTCCGTGTCCATGTCAGAGCCCGTGCCCTCAGCCTCGCCTCCACCACCACCACCGCTTCCTCCCTCGTCTCCCGACAAGAGCAGCAACGAGACCAATGCCTCGTTCAAGTTCCTGCCCGCCCAACGATTGGCCCTGCGCCGATATGCGCTCGCCAATCCCAATCTGGGCCGCCAGCGTCTGCAGGAATGGTTCACCGCGCGCTACGGAGGCTCGATTTCCATGTCCACCATAGTTGCCATCCTCAGCAAGAAATACGCATGGTTGGACGACTTTGACGACGAAGCCGACCTGCCCCTCACCCCGACCCGGCCACGATTGGACATTTCATTGGCGCAACGCCTTGCGCTGCGCGAGCAGGCCATCCTCGACCCCACTGCCACTCGTACCACTTTGGCCGCATGGTTCAGTAAGCGCTTCGGCATGCCATGCTCGTTGTCGACCGTGTCCACCACCCGCAGCGACCGCTGGGCGTGGCTCGACCAGTACGATGAGCAGAGCTTGGCGGAGATGGAGAGCGAAAAGGGCTTCACCCGACACCGGTCTGATCAGTTCCCCGAGCTCAGACATGCGCTGTGCGAATGGTATGACGAGGTCAAAAGCCAAAGCGTCACCGAGTCCCATCTGCGAGCCAAGGCGTGGGAGCTCGCCGAGGAGCTCAATTTGCCACCCGATTGGGCTCGATACAGCGTCACCTGGCTCAGACAATTCCGGGAAAAGTACTGCGTCGACATGCCGCAGAGCTGTCAAGAGGCCGCGCAGGTGGGGACTAAGCGTCGGCACAGCGACTTGATGCGAGCGGACTCGCCCTTCCCGCACCCCTTGGTGACGGACATTGAGGCCGCCGCTGACAGAGGAGTCGATTCTGGGATTGATCTCGGGATGCGGGTGCTGCTACCCAAGAAGCCGCAATCGGGGAAATCTTCGGATGGTCAGATGATGGACAATATCGTGGTCAACATGGCTTATCGAGCGACGGCGAACGGGAGGGCGAACGGCCATGCCGGACGCAATGGAAAGAGCACCAGCAACCACAGCAGAAGCCGCTCAGAGATGAACGGCGATGCGAGTGCCCAGCGCGAAGCAGCAGACGAAAAGGCCAAGAGACGTCGTACAATGTCAGAGACAACTCCCGCGGCCCAATCACTGTCTCGCAAGGAGGAAACGCTTTCTCGCTCCGCTAGTGTAGTCAACCTCCACCCAGACGGTACTAAAGAAGTCGATCCAGAGCGCGACGCGCCCTCATCGACAGCGCGGCAGCCCGTACCAACCCACTCCACCACCTCACCCTCTGCTCCGCCAAAGCCCAGTATCACCAACTCCTCGTCCACAACCACAGACAAGCCCCCGCCACCACCAGGGCCCACCTCCGGGCCCCAAACCCTTCCCCCTCAACCCGCAATACAGCCCCCAACCGCCGCCGCCGTCCTTCCTCCCATAAAAATCACCGGCTGGCGTCCAGCAACCTACCCCTACCGCCCGGACGAACCGACGACAAACCCGCCGCGCATCCCCTTCACGCCACCGGGGTACTACAAATCCGGCCCATGCAAACGCAATAAGCCAGTCACGGTCCTGCCGGCGCCGCACCAGGTGACGGACGTGATCCGCCCGCCGGACCAACAGACCTACACCAGGGAAGAAAGGGAGAGCGTGCTGCGGCATATCGCTGCGCTCAAGGAGGTCGAAGCCCGGTTCGAGGTCGTGGATGAGTATTTTTTGCATGTGCTTGATGTTAAGGAGCGGCATTTGAGGAGTGGTATGATGGAGGGGCGGTGAATGAATTGGTCATTCTTGGGTGGGTAGCAGACGAAGAGGGGAGGGAGAGGCTATAAGGGCTGTGAACTGAGGAATGGGAGTGCTTGGGAGAATGGACGATTGGTGCTTAGGTAGTTGACTGGTGGACAGCAGGAGGTATATATAATTTACCCTTTCTCTATGTATATAGTCGTCTTTGACGGAACAAAATTCTTTTGCGTGGCTATCCTCTGCATATGCTCTACTTACCTTGCAATAGTCTGTTTCACAATCAATGAAATGGAGTGTGCAGTCAATATGGCTTGGTTCTTAATAGAGATATGTATACCGAAGCAAAATAGAGGGGGTATCTATCCAACACACCACAAAACCCGCGGTGTGTTCCCAATCGCCCACAGATGCAGTTCCCAACCCGATGCCAACGCAATGCAATGCATGACCAGCCCAGAAACACAGTCATGACCAGTATCAACTACCCCAGAGCACTCTCATCAATCTTGAGCGCAAAGAACTTTCTCCTCCTCCGAATCTCCTCGTCCCTAATCACGGCGCCTAATTTCCAACTCGCCTTGACAAGACCGTCAATACCTATCCCCCTTCGATTCTTGCCCCCTGTCGAGCCGTTCGTAGTCTTATTGCTCTGCTGAGCGACAGCTCTGACACCGCCGACCGCCATGCGGTCCATGAATCCGCGCACTTCGAACCCGCTGTCGAGCGCCAGCATGTCGTCCTCGAACGCTTTGCAAAGACCGACGCCTAGACGGATCAGAAAGCCTGTGCTGCCTATTGCGGACTTTTTGCCGCTCTTCACTGCTGGCGGAGGGAGGCCGAGGAGCACATCCCATACGCGATAGACTGCCTCGACGCTGAGGGCCGAGGCATAAGCTGTCAGGAACCAGTTGTATGGCGCAGATTCGCGGGCCTCGACGGATTCGGTGGCCAGTTTGCGGCCCAGACGGGGGACTAGTTCGTCGATGAAGGATCGCAATACGCAGATCTCGATGCTGGCGCCGCGGAGGGTTGCGTCGAAGTAGATGTCCGATAATGGATGCTCGATAAGATAGACAAAGACCCAAAAGGCGCTTTCTGTCGTCGGCAGGCACAAGAGAAGATAGCCTGCAATCAGGTTCATGCCCTGGCAGTAGCCAATCTCCGGACGACGAGCGAGGAAGGCTAGCAACAATTCACGCAGAGCTGCACGCCCTTTCGACTCCGGACCCGCTATGATACCATTTCGGGAACGAGAGCCCGGTTTCTTGGGCACATACGAGTCGTTCTCTGCTGACTGCGGTGGTCGGAAGAAGACATTGTTCGGCAGCGTGCGTGGAACATCGTCCTCGATCTCCGCGCGTAGAGCAGGGTCAACAGAAGTAGCAGAAGCAGTCACCAAATTACGGTATTCGTCCGGAGCTGGCTGAAGAGTCTCGAGGGCAATGGAGGTATAAATCTGTGCGCGCATGGACATGGGAATGCCATTCATCACGAGCCGTATGCGCTCAGCGCGGAGTGAGGCCGGGATCGAGGCAATCTGAGGTGCCATGTCAAGAGGCGTCTGTTTGTTCGTCGTCTGGTTTCGGCGAAACATCGCGGGTACGAACGAAGTGCCATCTGTTTGCGTCCGATCCTGGGACAGGAACTTCTCCCAAGGGATAAGTCGTGCCTTTTGTAAGCGTGTAAAGTCGTCCGATAGCTGCTGCTGAAGTACCTTGACCACTTCCGAGTGATCCAATTCAGCCTGAGTATCGGTCGTCATATCAACTTCATCGATCGATGTACCTGACGCTGAAACGATAGGTAGCCATGATAGACTGCCCAACGTTGAAGTATCAAATTTTAGGTACGAGACCCACGATGTCGACTCAACGCTCTCTGTTTCGAGAGACTCAGAGTCGGCCTCGCTATCATGTGGCATTGACCGAACACTACTTGCAGACGTCAATGGCGTATCAGCCCCTCGGACTTGCGGTGGTGGAGATGCAACGCGGTTCTCTTCCAGAAACCTGTTGACACGAGCCGAGTCAATAACAAAGCCGTAGACATCTGCTGAATAGCCGGGAAAGTGAGCTTGAATGTCACGCTGAGTGATCAAAGGCGGGGGCAGGTTTTCAGACTCGACTATAGCGTTCATCTCCACAGGACCTGCTGGAACGGGGACAAGATGTTTCGACGAAGTCGATGATCCGACTGAAGATTTGCGCTTTTGCAGCATCGATGACTTTGCAGAATTGAGCTGTGAAATCAGAGGAGCTTCTTTACTCTTTCGGGTGGCTTTCCCACCCTTAATGGTACTTCGGCCGCCGAAAACAGAAAGCATGCCTCTGACAGCACTAGGCTGGGCAGGTTTCGTGCTTCTTGGAGACATGGGTGGGGAGTTGGTGTTCGATGGCACGTCCTCGGAAGACAGCATATGTTGGTCGCTGAAGGGATTTTGTGCATGATCGGAGAGGGGAGTATCTGCTGCGTCGTCGAGGGATCGATACAATGAGTAATCGGTGGAGGGACGCGAGGCTGCTGTCAGACTGTGTAATGTCCTGTCCGCATCCAGGCGTGAAAGGTCGTGCTCCGAACACAAATGATCCTTGAATATCTTGCTCAGCTCTTCCATACGCTTGCGCAGGGCCACCATCTCAGCATCACGCTGGGCCAGATCGCCAGCCAGTGTACGTATCATGTCAAAGTAGGATGATTGTTTGGACAAGCCACGCAGGGAAGCATTATCAATGTTTGCCAGAGCTGAGGGATGCTGTCTGAAGTATTGCAGATCGTGCTCGCTAAATAGAGAATCTTCAGTCCTCTCGTTCTCCATCATAGTATTCATGAGTGACTGAGCAGCGCTAGAGGCATGTTTCCTAGATTGCGGCGCAGCCGTGGCT